ACACATCATAATTAAAATGGCAAAGCTTAAATACAAGGAGAGAATGAATCATAAAAGCAGCAAATGAGAAATGCAGTTAGTCACCTACAAAAGAGCTACAATTGGACTATGATCTCATTTTTCAACAGAAACATTTCAGGCAAGAAGTGATGGACGCGAAATATTCAATGTGGTGAAAAGCAAGGACCTACAACTAACAATGCTATCATTTAAAACTGAAGGAGAAATAAAGAGCTTCCAAGATAAGAAAAACCTAAAGATGTGTGTTAACACCAAGCCAGTACTGCAATAAAGGTTATAGGACTTGCTTCAAAAAGAAGAAAAAAGAAAACAAAGAAAAATAGTTAAAACATAAAATGGGAATAAATACATATATATCAATAATCACCTTAAATGTAAATGGCTTAAATAGCCCAACCAAAAGACATAGGGTAGGTGCATGGATTATAAAACAAGATTCATATATATGAGGGGAGAACTCCCACTCCAAAAAAAAAATTCTTCTGAAAGGCAAACCCTATGTAATACACACTTCCCCTACTATCTGAGTGTTCTAGGAACCCATATATATCAGTGTACCACCTAGCACTACTGTAAGAAGTTGCATTAGGCTCCTTCTTTTTCTTAAATTTTGTTTGAAGATTCTTAAAATGTGTTTGCCTGTTTAATAATGGGTAATTTACAAGCACACCTGCCCACCTCAGTCCTCCACCCTCCTATTCACCCAATCTCACTTCAAGTGACATTGTTTTTATTTCCCCCAATGAAAACAGTCCTCAGAGGGAAACATTTTACTGATGAGGAAGTGCTAAAGCAAAATATGGCAGAAACACTAAAAGGCACCAAAATTGATAAGTTCAAAAATGGTTTAGTAAGCAGAGAAAAAAATATTTTCATAGGTGTACTGCAACAAATGGAGTAGTTTGACATGACTGATAAACATGTAAGAATACACAACTTTTAATAAATAAATTCCATTTAATTGGGTACCCCCTCATATGCTATTTCCAAGAGAGCCACCTCAGACCAAAAAATAAACACACACTAAAAGAATGAAAGAACGATCTTTCATGCAAATGGAAAGGTAAAAAAGCTGGGGTAGCAATACTTATATCCAACAAAATAGACTTTAAAACCAAGGCTATAGTAAGAGACGAAGAAGGATACTACATAATTATAAAGAGAACAATCCAACAACAGCATATAACCCTAGTAAACATCTATGCATCCAACACAGAAGAACCTAACATGTAAAGCAAATTTTACGACATAAATGGAAGACCGACAGAAATGTAGTCTTTGTATGGAATTTTAACACCCCACTGACTTTGATTGATATATCTTCTAAACAGGAAATGTAAAGGAGACAGTGGCCTTAAGCAACACACTAAATCAAATGGATTTAATTGATACTATGAATGCATTTGACCCCAAAGCAGCAGAATATATTCTACATACTTTTAAATGTAAATGGAACAATTTCTAGGATTGACCACATTAGGACACAAATTTCAGTAAATTTAAGAAAACTGAAATCATATCAAGCATCCATCTCTGATCACAATGATATAAAACTAAAAACCAATCACAAGAGGAAAACAGAAATACAGACACAGAAGCTAAATGTTATTAAACTATGAATGGGTCAACAATGAGATCAAGAAAGATATCAAAAGACACCTTGAAACAAATGAAAATGAGAATACAACAACCCAAAATCTGTGGGACACAGGGAAAGCATTCCTAAGAAGGAAATTCGTAGCATTATAGGCCTATCTCAACAAAAAAGAAAAAGCTCAAAATAAACAATCTAACTTTACCCTTAAAGGAACTTGAAAAACAACAACAGAGCTCAAAGTTAGTACAAGGAAGGAAATAAAGATCAGAGTACAAATACGGAATATAGAGTCGTAAAAAAAGATATGAAAAAAGCTAGTTCTTTGAAGAAATAAACTAGACTGACAAATCTTCAACCAAAATCAAATTGAGAAAAAAGAAAGAGAATCCAATAAATAACATCGGAAATGAAAGAGGAAAAAATAACAAGTGACATCAAAGAAATACGAAGAACTGTAAGAGCATATATGAACTCTATGCCAACAAATGGTACAACCTTGATGAAATGGATAAATTCGTACATACATATAATCTTCTATAGCTTATTGGGAAGAATCTGAGAATCTGTACACACAAATTATACCTACTGTAATTCAAGGATATTACACTTGAATATTCAAGGAGTAATCAAATAACTCCCAGCAAACAAATGCCCTGGATCAGATGGCTTCACTGGAGAATTTTACCAAACATTCTGAGAAGAACTACCACCTCTCCTTCTCAAACTATTTCCAAAAATTCAACAGGAGGGAAGACTCCCAAGTTCATTTTATCAGGCTATCACCATCCTAATTCCAAAACCAGATAAAGACATTACAAAAAAAAGAAAATAATAAGCCAATATCCCTGATGAACATAGATGCTAATATCCTCAACAATATAAGAGCAAATTGAATAAAGCAATACTTCAAAAAGATCATATACATCATAATCAAGTAGGATTTATTCTGAGAAAGCAAGTTTGGTACAACATTCACAAATAAATACATGTGATACACTATACACAAATTGAAGGATAAAAACCACATGGCCATATCAATGGATGCAGAGAAAGCATTTGATAAAATACGGCACCCATTTATGACCAAAACTCTCAGCAAAGTGGGAAGAGGGAACATACCTAGACATAATAAAGGCCTTAAATGACAAACTGTCAGCCAACATCACACTCACTGGGCAAAGACTACAAGCACTCCCCTTAAGATTGGGAAAAAGGTAGGGATGTCTGCTTTCACCTCTCTCATTCAACACAGTAACAGAATTCTTAGTTATAGCAATGAGACAAGAAGAAGAAATAAAAAGCATCCAAACTGGAAAAGAAAAAGTAAAGCTATCTTTATTAGCACATGACATGATACTGTACACAGAGAACCCTAGAAGATTCCACCAAGAACCTACTATAACTGATATATGAATTCAGCAATGTAACAGGACACAAAATTAATGGCCAGAAATCAGCTGCATTTTATATACCAATGAACTATCATAAAGAGAAAATAAGAAAATAATGCCATTCACAATCACTTAAAAAACCTTTGAAGAATAAAAACACCTAGGAATAAAATACCTAGAAATAGATCTAACCAAGGGTGTAAAAGACTTATACTTGGAAAATTATCAGACACTGAAGAAGAAACAAATAAGTAAAAACATGTACTGTGTTCATGGACAGAAAAATTTAAATCATTAAAATGTCCATGCTACCCAAAATAATCTATAAATTCAATGCAATTCCTATCATGACTCCAATGTCAGATTTCATAGAACTAGAACAAATATATCAAAAATTTATATGGAACCACAATAAGCCCTGCATAGCTATAGCAATCCTGAGAAAGAAGAACAAAGTTGAAGGAATCACATTACCTAATATCAAACTATACAACAAGGCCATAGTAATCAAAACAGCATGGTACTGGCATAAAAACAGACACACAGATTAATGGAACAGAAGAGAGCCCAGAAATAAACCCACAGCTTCACAGTTAATTTATTTGACAGAGGAAGCAAGCACATACAATGGGCTAGATAGTTTATTCAATAAATGGTATTGGGAAAATTGGACAGATAAATGCAGAAAAATGAAACTAGACCACTATCTTACACCACACACAAGAATAAATTTATAATGGATTAAAGACCTAAATGTTAGACTGGGAAAAATAAAAACCCTAGAAGAAAATACAGGCAGCAAACGCTCGGACATAGCTGATAGCAATATTTTATCAACTATATCTCCCCGGGCAAGGGAAACAGAAGAAAAAATAAACAAATGGGAATTCATCAAATTAAAAAGCTTAGCACAACAAAGGAAACCATCATGAAAATAAAAAGATGACATACAGAATGGGAGAACATATTTACCAATACATGGGATAAGGGATTAAAATCCAAAATTTACAAAGAAGTTATAAAGCTTAATACCAAAAACCCAAACAACCCAATTCATAAATGAAGGACCTGAACAGACACTTTTCCAAACAGAACACACATGTTCAATAAACATTACGAAAATATGCTCAAGGTCACTAATCATCAGATGAGTGCAAATTAAAACCATAATGAGATACCACCTCACAACTGTCAGAATAGCTATCATTAGTAAGTCAACAAACAACAAGAGCTGGTGAGGATATGAAGAAAAAGGAACCCTTTTTCACTGTTGGTGGGACTGGTGCACCCACTGTGGAAAGCAGTATGGAGATACCTCAACAAATTAAAAATAGATCTGCCTTTTAACCCAGAAATCCCACATCTGGGAATACATCCGAAGAAACCCAAAATGCTAATACAAAACAACATAAGCACCCCTGTGTTCATGCAGCATTATTTACACATTTGTCAAGATACGGAAGCTGCCTAAATGTCCATCAATAGATGAGTAGATAAAACACCTATGGAACATTTACACAATGGACTACCACTCTGCTATAAATATGAAGAAAATTTCACCTTTTGTGACAGCAAGAAGGGACCTGCAGAACATTATGCTAAGTGAAATAAGCCATTCGGAGAAACACAAGTACCATATGATTTCACTCATATGTGGAATCCAGTGAACAAACTGAACTAACAAGGAAAATAGAGGCGGACTCATAGAGAGCAGACTAATGGTTACTGAAGCAGGGAGTTTAGTGGGTGAAAGGATCTAGTTAAAAAGGATAAAGGACTCATGGACACAGACAACAGTGTGGAGAAAGAAGGCAAGGGGGAGAAGGGAAGTATAAAGGGGATAAATGGTAATGGAAAAAATATCATTAAAAAATAAAACATGAATTAAGAGGAACCCACTATTGTGAAGTTTAATTCCATTTAACATTTTGCATTCTTTTGAAAGAAATACATGTGTACTAGACATGAGGAATAAACATTGGTTTCCTTACCTGTTGTGTTCCATCTGCACTTACAATAGGTGCAGATAGAAGAGAAATATCACTAGTTAAAATCTGAGATGTATCCAGTAGTGGTGGATGTTCTGCCATTATCAGTAAGACATTAATATACCGGATTACTCTCCAACTCTGAAAAACAAAAATATATAACAATATGTATATATACTTAAAAATATGTTACAATATAATACATTCAAGATTTGTCTTATCCTTTTTTAATTTTTTTTTAATTTTGAGAATACATGTGTTAAGGCTGCAGACAGTGAAACAAAGGAAGGAGTTAGGCTGGAAGAAGCAACAGAAGGGAGCTAGGTGCTCTGCTTTGGTTCTCTAGAAATGTACAGGAAGGAAGGAAGCCAAGGCAAGGCTGCTACTACCTCACTGAATACTCTAAGATAGAACCAACAAGAGCAAGCTTGGACAGTGCTCTGCTTTGGCTCTCTGGAAATGTAAGAAATAAGTGAGCTACAGTGAGCTGGTGTTAGCTCACTGAAATGGTGCCTTGGAAACAGGTTCAGGGAGTAAATGCAGGATGAGGTGATGCTGCCCGTTGCTCCCCTGGTTGCAAATCTTGTGGGAAACCTTAGTGCTTAGGAGAGAAAAGTAAAGATGTATGCTGAGAGGGAAGGAAGGCATGGGTGTGCTCCAGAAAGAGCCCCAAGATTCGTCTTATTCCTTAGCCTAAAGAGATATTATTATCAAAGGAAATTTTTTACAATATTCTATGACTACTTTTTAGTCAACAGAGATTTATAGGAATTCATTTCTTCCAACTTAACCAACTATCTGTCAATGTATACAATAAACTAAGATATATATAATAAAGCCAATATTATCAACAGCTTCTACTTAAATTGTTTCTCTGTCCCTTTCAACTCTGTACACAATTTATTTAACCACCATCATTTTTTAGTTAAAACACAGGGATAGGCACAAAAATGGAATAATTGAGTGAAGCAATCCTATCAGTAATTTTTTTCTATGAGAGAAGGTGATAATGAAAACCCAGTATACCTATTAGTCCCTAGGATGATGACTCCAGAATTATGATTTTTCAATGATTCTTCAGAGATATCAAAATAGTAGAAAAATTTTTCAGAATTAGAATAAGACCCTTCAAGTTTTATGTTCTTACTCTGGTCTCCTACAATTCCAGTTTTATTTTTCTTTTCTAAATGATACCCACTTTATAATAAACCCTATCATTTCAGTGATAAAAGCACATACATTTACAACAGAAACCCTTAACTATAAATAGAATATCCCTGATATAAAAAGTAAAGAACTTGACGTAAACAATATTAGTCTACCATATACAACGCCAACCAATAAAACATCAGCCAATTACATGCCAGGATGAGCACAATTGAGCTCAATCATAAATTTCCTTGAATCTACACTGAGAGGCAAAATAAACATTTTTAGATGTTTGCAGCATTCTACAATTTCAGTAGTGTCAAAAATGTTTAGCTTTTATAAGACATTAAATCTTGAGTTGTTGCAGAATCTCTTGTATGAGTTGATTTAAGCTAAAAACAATTTTCTATTTAGATATATACAAATTGCTACAAAATTTTTAGAAATATTCAATACAGGTATCTACTTCAAGGTTTTATACATAAAACCATAGTACAAAACATTCTCATAAAATGCATACAATGTAGACATAACAAGGTATTTATATAAACTTATCTATTGTGTATACTCATATATGCATGTATATGTATGCATGTACATGTGTACTAATATATGCATGCATATATATGTACATGTATGCATATATACACTCATGTATATGTGTATGCATATGTGTGTTTATGTATATGTGCATGCATACATATAGATATGGGGAATGCAAATCTATCTTCTGGCTTAATCTGTATTGCTCTATTTCTTAAAGTTCAATAAAATCACTGCGTACTTTAAATAATCAAATAATTTCACTCTGTGAACTATACAAAGAATTGTAAGATGAGAAATAGTCAATATATTATTTCCTCTCTTGCACTTGCATGTCACATAACTTAGTTTAAGAAGAAATATTTTTATGGGAGGGAGTAGTAGGAGGAAAATGGAAACAACTCTACTGGAACAACATAAAAAATAAAGAAAATAAATAAATATATTGACCTGAAAAAAGAAAAACATTTTTAAGAAAGCTAATTCAGGACTGACCACAGTTAAAAGTTTATAAGCAATTAATGTTTTGTAAATTAGTAATTTTTTAAAGTAACCATTGAGTATTTTTTATTTTGTCACTTTATTCTATCTATCTGTAATATTTCAATACATTTAACTAAAACTGCGAATCACCATTACAACTTAAATTTAGAATGTAATGCTGAAGTTACAACCATAGTTTGGTTTCAAGAGATAGACTGGAAGTTGACAAATACAAATTTCTTCTGAACTTCCAGCGAATTCCAAGAACAATGCTATTATAAATGGGTTCTGAAGGCCCATGCTATGTTTTAATATTATCCTGTATAAGTGTTATCTCCAACTTTATTTTTGTAAAGTTATAACATATCAAAAGTTTCATTTAGCCCTGGCTGGTGTAGCTCAGTGGATTGAGCACGGGCCTGCGAACCAGACAATCACGGTTCGATTCCCAGTCAGGGCACATGCCTGGGTTGCAGGCTGGTTCCCTGCAGGCCAGTTCCCAGCAGGCGATGCACGAAAGGCAACCGTACATTGATGTTTCTCTCCCTCTCTCCGTCCCTTCCCCTCTAAAGATAAATAAATAAAATCTTTAAAAAAAAAGTTTCATTTATGAATTGATTTCTTATATGGCTATATTCATCACACAATATGCAAAGGAGCTGGTTTTATTTCAGCTTGTAAATCATCAACACCAGTCACGCAGGTGAATTGCTGCATTAGGAAAGCAAGAAATTCCATTCATTCCTGCATAGAGAACAAGGTTAGGTTCTTTCAAGAAATGTCTTCTAATTTTGTTACTATTCACTTCCTACATTCTCATCTTATTTTGGTGACTACAAACATCCACTTGTTTTAAGTTCACCTATCTTTACTTGCTTTTTAATTTTTTTAATTTGCTTTTTTAAATCCTCACATGAAGATGTGTTTATTGATTTTAGAAAAAGGAAAAGAGAGAGGAGGTGGAAGAGAGAGGGGGAGGGGAACAAACATCGACATGAAAGAGAAACAAGGATCATTTGCCTACAGTACACTCCCTGATTGGGAATCAAACCTGCATGCAACTTAGGTATGTACCATGATCAGGATCGAACCTGCACATTTTTGGTGCATGGCCTGACACTCCAACCAACTGAGCCACCCAACCAGGGCTATTTGGGTTTTTTTTTGTTTGTTTGTTTGTTTGTTTTTTTTAAAGATTTTATTTATTTATCTTTAGAGGGGAAAGGAAGGAGAGAGGGAGAGAAACATCAATGTATGGTTGCCTTTCATACGTCCCCTGCTGGGAGCTGGCCTGCAGGGAACCAGCCTGCAACCCCAGTATGTGCCCTGACTGGGAATCGAACCGCAATTGTCTGGTTTGCAGGCCCGCGCTCAATCCACTGAGCTATACCAGCCAGGCTATTTGTTTTTTATAATGAAATGTATAATACATGTAAAAATAAAAAAGAGAGAGGAGTGATTTCTTATGCTCACTAATTTCCATGAAATAATATTCCTCCATGGCCTATTCCAAGTTATCATGATTTAAAATAAAAGGGGGAGGGATTTTGAGGAACAAGTATGAAAGACACAGAGATGAGGACTGGGGGGGCGGAATGGGAGGGAGGGGGGAGACCGGGCGGGGGGGGAAGAAAAAAAAATTTAAAAAAACAAAACAAAACAAAAAATAAATAAATAAAAAAAATATAGTTTAATTAAAAAAAAATCTAACTGAAAATTGCTGAATGTTTAGCAATATTTGAACATAAAGACAAGACAGCTCCAGCATATTACTGTCTACATCTGTACCTGTATATGAATATTCACCTATCTTTGTAGTAATAAGATACTAAAATGTTAACATTTCAAGAATTCGATGGAGGCATGGGTAGATACTTTGCCTCCTTGCACAACCAAAAGAAGGATGATAACAACAAATTTTTAAAAAAATCAACCAGAAGTGCCAGAAAACTGAACTGTATGGAAGTCTGACAACTGAAGAGTTAAAGAAGAAACATTCATTCAGACCTGTAAGAGGGGCAGAGATGGGCAGCCAGGGTAGAGAGAACTCGAGGCAAGGCAGTGGCTGGGGAACCGGGTAGGGCTGCCCCACTTTTGCATGTGGATAAACAGGAAAAAACAACTGGGGGGCGAGACAAACTGAAGAAACCAGTGGAGGTTCCAACTTGGGGGGGGGAATAAAACCTCAAAACCACTGACTGAAAAAATCTGTGGAGGTTGCAGCAGCAGGAGAAACTCCCAGCCCCACAGGAGAGTTTGTTGGAGAGACCTGCAGGGTCCCAGAACGTACACAAGCCCACCTACCCTGGAATCAGCACCAGAAGGGTCTTATTTGCTTGGGTAGTAGTAGAAGTGACTGAAAGCCAGCCAAGAGCCAAGCAAGTGGCATTGTTCCTTCTCTGACTCCTCCCACGCATACAACACCAGAGGTAGCCCTGACCTATTAAAAACCTAAGGCTCCATCATAAGATTATCAGCTGATTTTTTAAAAGAATTCTTATAGGCAAGAAGGGACTGGTAAAAAGAGTCAAAGTCATGAAAGGCAAGGACCTACACCCAAGTACACCCAAGATTACTCTATCCAGCAAAGCTATCATTTACAATGGAAGTACTTTAAAGATAAAGTCAAGTTAAAGGAGTTCATCATCACCAAGCCCTTATTACATGAAACGTCAAAGGGACTTATCAAAGAAAAAGAAGATCAAAACTATGAACAGTAAAAGACAACAAACTCACAACTATCAACAAACTAAGCAAACAACTAGATTAAGAACAAATTAACAGAAATGGAGATCACACGGAGGGTTATCAGTGGGGGGAGAATGGGGGAAAAGGTACAGGGTACGAAAATCACAAATGGTAGGTAAAAAATAGACAAAGGGAGGTTAAGAATAATATGGGAAATGAAGAAGCCAAAGAACTAAAAAATATGACCCATGGACATGAACGAAAAGTGGGAGAATGCT